CCCGGGTCTTTTACAAATCCATTGCCTTATATGGTGGGGGGTACTTTACACGGGGGGGTACTTTAGTCAGCGCTCTATGGTATTACTGAACCATTAGTTTAAAACTCTATTTGGAAATCATCTGAAGAATTCCCAAATAGGGCTAGTGAAATCTAATTAGGAAATTCAAAAGAAAAAACTCGCTTTTTTATTTTATTTTTTTAGTTTGTAAACAACACAGCTTGTTTAATTTGTAAGTCATATACACTACATGTCTGTTATTGATTTGAAAGGTCAAGTATGATTTTACAGTTGCATTTCTTTCAAACCTGGCATTTCCCTGCCCATAAGTCCTTGTGTGTCTTCCTCTGATGTGGCTGATGAAATGGCTATCTAGTGAATAATGTCAGGTTCTAGTTTTCAAATCTAGCATCTCCCTACCTACCCTACCTGCAAGTCTGTTTTCCTCTGGTGTGGCTACATATTGTAGCAATCTTAGATTATCCGATTTTATTTTTCTAGGTGATATGGTTTGTGCCTATCAATTCATCATCGTAAAAATTGATATTAACATATCTTCATCCACAGACACATTTCCAACTATTAAAAGAAATTATATCAGATAAACAATTTACTTATTACTATTGTTAAGTCCTATAAAAAATTAAAATTTCCTTTTACTCGAAAGAAAGAGGCAGAAGAAGTCTTATATGAATGATTAAAAACTATTGTATCTGAATAATGTGAAAGCTGTAACCACACAGTAAGAAAATTTTTGCCTTTCAAACTCAGAATTTGTTGGGAGATTTTGACAACTCATTACTAGAATCAGAGATGGAGATAATGTGTTTGTAGGCATATTTGAGGAGTGGCCTGAAAAAATTAGACGATATGATGGGCAATATTAACTGAGCGTGCAACAGTTACTGAAGAAGTAGAGCTTATACAACAAAAAAGACAAGAGGCTGTCCGCGAACTTGCCAGAGAGAATGTGCAACGAAAGATAAAAAAATGTCACGCTTAAAAGAGGTAGACGAGCAATTGAGCATAATAATACCGGGAATTACGTACGTATAAAGATCCCACAAGTTGATAAACGGGGAGATCGCTAAGATGCAATGTGATAGACGTTTTAGAAGGAGGACGATATAGGCTTGATTATAGTATATTAGACGTTCAATACCATGGAAGCTATTGTCCTGACCTGAGAACTGTTCCAGAGACAAGCATATCTCTGATTAGATTGTAAGACAAATGTAGACAACAATGTCATCTCGCAAATATAACAATTAACGGTAGTTTATTACCAACAAATGGTTTAATATTAATTAAGAATTAAACGATACAATACAATATTGATCAATTTCAGAATCCTGTAATAAAACTATAATCATTTAGCTTTTAAATTTCATGGCATCATATTTATACTTTTTGGCAGAGACTTTTTTATAAGGAATTTCTGGTTACAACGAAGATTTTACTCGGACGCGTCGAATTCGTTTCGTTGACAAGTTCTTTTCGTTGACAATATAGCGATAGACTGTTATCGCTGTCAACCACATAGTTTGTCCCCATCCCCCCCACATTATAAAACATATTGAATCAAACAAAATAGCTGAAATAAACCAAACGTTAAAAGAAAGAATTAAACGAACAATATATTAATATCGACACATCATTTTAAAGTCACGTGTGGACTTGCACAATCTATTTCAAAATATTGAACGTTCACCCAAACTTTGTTCAAAATGAGTCTGAGATCTCATTTTGGCGTACTTCGAAAAGCTGCCGTGCGTCGTGATATTAAAATCAGACAGAAAGTCGCAGACAGCGAACTTGTTCGGCAAGCATATCGTTATATTATTCGTAATGAAACTCTACCTCCGCGGGTTCGTCAGCAAGCACAGCTGAATTTGAATTCTTTCGATATCCACTCTCGTCCTACCTCAATAAGAAATAGATGCTCAGAAACGGGGAGAGCCAGAGGCGTTTTTAGAGAGCATAAGTTGTGTAGGTTCCAATTTAGGCTTAAGGCTTTGAGCGGATTATTGCCCGGTGTTAAAAAGGCAGTATGGTGAAAACAACAAGGCTTGAAAAGAATACTGTAAGTGTTATGCGTTAGGTCTAGTGTTTTCGCATTTCATGTTGAAACTAATCGTTCTATCATAGTTTTTATAAACAAAACGACAATCGAGGACATTAAAGACGCTTCTATCAATTTAATTACAAAATAAATATTCGTATTATGACAGGCGATCAACAACTTCAACCACTAATGGCTGAGAATCGAAGTAGACGGAGCGAGTTTCAACATCCTCGCAATGGTAAAGGAATTGGAAGTCACCCCGTGATAGAAAACAGACTGGCAACGTATAAGTTATTGATGAATTGGCTTCGATCTAGGCAAAGATGTTAGTAAGAACGACATTGTCATGACGGCGTAAATAGCGAACATTGCTAGTGTTACCTTTGGGAGGGTTGATTGAAGCAACCCGTTCCAAACTATCCTTCCAGATAAGTCATAGTCCATAACCCCATCGCCGTATGTCTGCACTGGCTGAGTTCGTAGACTTAGTTTGGCTCCTTTGTCTGTCATGGGTGTGAGCGTTGAATTATGACAAGTTAGTTGTGCCCCTATATCTTACCATACATATTTCATACAATATACTTGCCTCGCCGATTGAATATAAGAAAGTTAATATACAAAAACTCGTTAACCGCACACTTGAATCGATTTGCAGACATTTTCTGCACAAGAGCGCTTTGTTGAAATTCGATTCCAAATTCGATCTCGTTAACTTTTAGAATATTTAGCATCGACTTGTTCAGACGAAGCGAGCGAACATCGATGATGCCCTTCCTTCCGTTTGTTGGCTGTTTATCGTAATGCCATTTGCTCAGGACGCTTATCAAACATAATGAAACTTATCGAGACAATAGTATGGAGAACAAAGGATACGCATTCCCAGGAAGTAGTCAATCTTTTTAGTAAAGTCTCTCTATACCAAAATAAAGCAAGTTGCAATCTCTCTTGTTCCGCCGTGCCTTTGGGTGCTTTCGACACTACGAATTGCTTGTCTAGTATCGATGGTATGGGTTTTGTTACCTCATCCTCAGACAAGGCAATGCGTTTGATAGGAAGAACAATCCTAATAGCATATAGCGAAACAATTTCCCCCAAGATTTAATACATAGACGTGGAGTTTTTGTAAGCAATATTTACGTATTGTAAGTCTTACCGAGAAGTAGATAACGGTTGGATTGTCGTTGAATTCGTAACTATTCTGCCCGATGCTCCTTAAATCAAAGTAGTTATATTATTGTTAACGTTTACAAGATTTGTTCAACGGGTCTATTACACGTTCACTTACCTTCATCGACAATAAAGGTAACATCAAAGGGCACATGCCATACATTCCTAATATCAAAAGTCAATAAACAATATTCGCTTTCCAGTCGAGATATCTCTAATGTTTGGCCCGAAGCATCAACTACTCTAAGTAACTCTTCAATCTGCCTCATATGCTCGATAGATTGTACACCATCATTGTTAGGTACATCAGGCAAAGGTTTGAAGTTGGACAAGTCCATGGCTAATGGTTCTAGATTTCGATTTACAGTTAACAATACGGGGTAAAACACTTGACGCGTATAGAATGTGTCGTTATTAGGCGATTGTTCCTGGTTAAGATATCCATAATCTATTTGTATCGTGCCACTCGTACTGATGCACAAGAAAAGAACGAAATATACCATTGGGTTAGGGAGAGTTGCTGAACAAGCTTCCTGATCTCGGAAGGATTGTATAGCGCATAAATTACATACCACTCCCTTTTGCCAAATACATTGATTGTAAGCATCCATTCTCCTCCAGGCAATAAATTCACTTGCTGATCCGACTGATTCCAGGCGAATACTGATTGTTTATGCGCGTAAAATTCCATCTCATATGCCTCTTCTGGTGGTATATCAGATGAACTCAAGATTGCTTGAGCATTAGCAATGGTAGAATCATGAAACGATAATGTTATAAAATCAACTGGTGTTTTGCCGATGTTTGCCAACGCGATGGTCATCTCTGTCCTAAATCATATATACCGGTAACATATACGCTATTAATCATCTAGTAGTTTTGATACTCAAAAAGACTGCAATAACAAAACATACTTCTCTCCCTCAAACAGCATAATTGCTCTGTGCATCAAAGATGTGGATTTAATCTTCAACAATGGCTGATTCGGAATAACAGTCACTCTAAGAAATTCCATGTGCTGCCTCTCCTGCGAAGATGTCGTCCCTGTACTCGCACTGGAGTCGACTGTATAGTAAACAAATCATCAGCTAAGCTAAAACCAGTTATCGCTAACTTTGCATTAACGGACGGTAGCAAACCTCTTCGATGACGCTCTAATATGGCCAGCCCACTACACAATTACATGTGTCAGTCAAATAATAAAAGAAATTGCACTACAAGCACTAGTTATATTATATGTGTACACATACCTTTTTTTAACTCTTTTTGCGTATTCGTCCTCTTTTTCCCTTTTCCTGATTTCTTCTTCCTTTGGAGGCAAGTACACAAAAAACTCTTGTTCGATACAACCATATATTTTTATCTTGCACCCGCGTATAATCAATTCGCCATCTTCAGTTGGAACACCAGATAATTTCACATTCACAGAATTATTGGCTGGTATAGTAGTAGAAATTACATCTGGCACAAATGAGACTCCTTCAGTGCTTGTAAATATATGTAGTTTCGTGTAAATTATTATGTGTATTCAACGAGCTCGCGTAATTTCTTGATTACCAACATCTATCATACCTTATACTAATACTTTGTATCTCCAAGTCAACAGCATATACATTGGCTAAAAGGACCATGAAATACGCAGTTTCATTGGCAACTAGGTGTGTCTATTAAATCATAATCCATTAGTTAATATAGCCATAACTACTGTTGTTGTAATACATCAAGCAAACATATACCTGAACTGTCTCTGCACTCTTCTTGCTGAACGGATTATAGATAAAAGGTCCATCACTTCCTTCCTTTTTAACATCAGATTGGCTTAATATCTTCCCAGAATGCGGATACGGTATTTCCTTTGGTGATGGACTACAGAAACAGAAGCAGTTGGGTTGAGTAGGTCATCAGATACTAAGTTGCACCGATTTTAGCAGTACTTACCGACATACTTGTACTTCACGTACAATATTCACCCCCCAGTATTTGATCTGCATATCAATGTCCTGCTTCTTAGCTAATCCAACGATACGCGGCAGAGATACAGAAAGGCGATGTTGTTCTTCACGTGGAAGATGTACGAATAACCTTCGTAATAGCCTACTAGTGTATTTTGCAATAGAATGAAAATCTAAGGAGCAAGTATGTAGTTGAATATCATGTTGACAACACATGCATTTAATAAACGATTCCTATAACTATGACTGTTTACCTGGAATGGATTCCGCTATCATAATAGCATCCTTAAGAACATTTATCTGAATATCAGGCCAACCAAAGTCGTTTTGAGCGTCTTCCTCAGACGGTTCACCTTTTTGATCTTCATCGTCATCTACAAAGTCAATTTTATGCGTCAACTGACTACTAAAAAACTAGTCTGTAATGCATATACGTGTTATATACCTCCAACTCCATAGATATCAACAAACTGTCTCAGATTTCCGAGCAAGCGATCATCCTCGATTATCGAAGTCTTTCCTGCCTGAGCAAGTGGAAGACGCGATCTTGATAGCAGAGGTAGTATTAAGAAAACACTACGACGAAGAAAGAAGGCATACTTTCGTTGGAAATTAATAGAAGAGAATATTGATGCAAGAGTCGTATTGACGTGGATCTATTAATGTCCAATGCAGAATTTGATTAGATTCACTGCTGTATCGTAGAAATATCAATAAAACGATCTCTTAGTCCATTCACCTGCTCTGTCGTAGACATTTCTTCCACGAATATTCCGTATCCTTTCATAGCCCATTGGGAAATCTCTACTCTAGACACACCGCTAACTTGACTCAATCCCCATTTTTCTCTGACCGTTTTGTCCATAGGCATTACTCCATGAACTATCATTTTTAGTGCTTCGTCTCCCCACTCACCGGCCAACCATATACACGTGAGCATTTTAGACATTTTGAGACATGCCTCGGTATATATTAATGAAGGCACTTGATTGTTAATCGAATTCGAAGTCTTTGCATATAAAGTTATTACGTTCAGATATTTTTCTGTTATATCTGCCCAAAGCGGTTTAGGATTTGTCGGTGATGATGGCGCGGAAGAAGATTGGCTGACACTCGGAGAAGGTGGCGCCTGGAGTACTTGCGGCTGAAAACGAGATTACGCGAATATGAATATAAAAACAATTGTGATTGTGAATTATTCCGTGTCCTATCCCATGTCTGGCGGATAGTTGCAGCTAGCATATAGATCTATATCAAATGTTAACATCTAAAAAATGCACTCTGAGCACTATCATACGTATTCTACGTTCACTCACCCCAATATCAGCATGCAAATATGCTAATAATACAAGACTGACGCAGAGGCCTTCTAATGCTGCTCCGTGCCATAAATAGTCTGAATTGGACTTGGTAGTTTCTATTGCAGAGTAGTAGCTGTTTCAGGAACAATAAGATATTGATTGAATAATACGAATACATTTAACCATGATAACTTGAGCAACAATCATTACTTTGAGACAGCGTCGGGCAGCCTTCCAGCCAATAGGTATAGATCGGCCAGCAATTTTTGAACCCTCCCCGGTGTCCTTCGCTTGAGCTTCAGATCAGACATGCTAGTAGGCATCATTGATGACGGATTCGAGAGAGTGGCCAGTGTGGAAGAGGAAAACGATCTCGTATGATATTGATCTTTTGCATTGGCACCAGCCGTCATATTACCAATGCTACTTGCAGTCAGGACTTGAGATGGAGGTGTCAATGGAAAGGAGGGAGTTTGAGGTGACGTTAAATCTGTAAATGATATCGTAGGAGTGGAATATCGATGACTAGGGCCGTTCGGGGATGTTAATGGAGACGAAAATAACGAAGGTACTTTGGGAGATTCAATAAAAGTCTTTGATTCTATTGTTTCAACCTTCATAATGATAAGATTCGGTTAGATTATTAAATCGGAATTATGTCAAATCTCTTGACACTGAATATCTAATACGGTAGAACTTCATGTGCTAAGTAAAATTTCTTATCAGTGCCCAATCAAGCAGTCTAATCAAAGCCAGACGAATTCATGAATTGTAATTCTGTTTACTGTCATCATCAGACGAATAGACTTTAATACTAAAAGACTAAATAACGCGTCTAATCGTGTTTTCTTATATTCTGTCTCATACGATTCTAAATTGATTTGCAACACGTCCTCGAAGAAGTGTTTACTTACCAAGCTACCGAATTCGGTTAGAATTGTACTAGCAAAATCGCAAATCATTGTACTCATGTAGAAACCCATATTTCCGACAGTCGGTATCATGATCAAGCCTTTCGTGTCATCAGGTTGATGTTCGGAGGGATCAAACGCAAAGCATCGATGTGTTAGAGCTGTCGGATACTGATTGATTGAATGTATTAGTTTCCAATAACACATGTTCGTTTCATATGATTTTGTTTGATCTTACATTCTTGAGTATTCCCGTGAATTTTCGGTATCCATCTGTTAATTCAGGCCATTCTTGACAATCCATTATACCGATTACCTGCCAATTGAATGAAACCGAATATGTGATCATTATCGACCGACATGTCATGATCATTCATATTAACATAAAGAATATCACTTATTAACCCCAAATATCCTCCGATGTAACTGAAATTCCTCAAGATATGTGTGGTCAGCGTCATAAGTCGTTACAAAATTAAAGAGCAATTGTCCCTCATGGAATAGCGCAGGGCTAAACATAGCTATTTATCATTCAAAGCACTGTTAGTCATATTTATTTGAAGGTATGCTTTCCAATTGAATAAATAATATGAGACATTATTCATACACTGGGAGCCACGCATGTCAGGGGTTACATCACCCAATTTAACTACATTGAAGTTCTTAACAAGTTCTATATGTTTCTGAAAGGTAGACGCTTTGATGGGGTGTACTGGTACTAGGAGAATGCGGATGCGACCAGGCGAAGTGAATAGAATAGGATCCATATCAGTTAAGGAAGCAAACTTCAGTTCAAAAAAAGTGAAATGAATACTCTAGTCACGTGTTCGATTAGATACTGTATGAACGTATTACAGTATCAGTATGTTTATTAAGATGCTTAAATATTATTCTATCGTTGTTTGCTTCATTACTTTAAACTAATGTAACCATTCAAGCTCTCTCACATAATTCTAGCAACTCTTTAGAGTCTTGTTTCTGCAAGAAATGAACGAACGGTTTCTAAACCATTTGCAACATCGTTGGCATTAACTATCCATGGCTCACACCATCCAATGAAAATTGCGGGCTGCATTTATGGAGGATGGAGATTGTGCATTTAAATCTGATTGGTTTCATGTGATATTAGCATTGGAATTAAGACAAGATAAAGCTTGCTTAAATGATCACAAAACATTTCTTTACTGTGCATTTTGTTTGGCGTCACTCGTTCACTAATGATTTTATTTTGTAAAGTCACGTTATGGCTTGTGTTAGTTACTGTGCTTGTGTCATATGGCGTCATATTCTAGACTATAGTAATAGTAACTTCGCGTGATTTTTCCGCTGTCGGTGGTACAAACATACCTACTAATTTTCTCTGTAATTATTCTCAATCGCCTGACCAAAAATATCATTTGTTATTTCTTGTATCTTGCTAACGTCTTTTATAATTTTTCGAGTAGTTTTTATCGCTGATTATCGATTAAACTTTTCTTAGAAACAATCTTTTCAAGAAGGCTTCTGTACTAGCGATGTGCTTCTGTCATGTCATCCATGTCTTCACAGTATCTGTATACCGTAGAAGTTTAACAGCTTCCAGTCTTCGAACTGATTAAAAAAGGCATCAAAATCCTATTTCGTTTCCAACGATTTGATAAAGTTTTTTACACATATTCGGCATTTATCAAATGTCGCTCACCTCGGGTTTCATTGTCTAACAAAACGCGTGTAAGTTAGGACGGTCTCGGCAGTACCCCAAATTTTGAATTTGTTTTTGATACATCTGCAGAAAAAGTCACGTTTTCGCCAACGCATTAGGCAAAACACAACTAAATGACTGTGCAGTATTTTTGACTCGGCAACAGTTTAACTTGATACGTGTGATGATAATTCCTGCCGCTTAAAAATTATAAAATAAACACAATAATATTTTATTCCACTGTGTCGCATTATGTATTACAAAGAAATATGTATTAAAAATTGTGAAAATAAATTTATTGATTCTTTTGTTATTATTATTTGCTACCAAATTATCTTCCTACAAAAATTAAATTATTTATAACAATGACAACAATACTACTTCTGTTTCTTTGGCTGAATGGTATATTGTAAACCATCCTCTCTTAAAAAAAATACACGGTTTAAATCTCAAAGCCGATTTACATACCACCCATTAATTCGTGAAGGACTCATTAAATTGTGCCACGTTGACGATGCTACAGATTATTTGAATGGGAAGCTTCAGGTATAAGAAAGTCTACATATAGAATTAATAATGTTCTGGATCTTACAGAAAAAGAAAAAGCTCGAGTAAAAATTATAAATTATGGGTAACATTTATGCGGGAAAATGGCAAATGTATACCCAATTATGCAAATTATGTTTTGCCAAATAACTTAAAAATGGCAACAATATGCATCAATGCGCAGTCAAAATTTATTCTATCTTACCTAAATACGAGCCATCTATTTTGCATAAAGATAGAAGGAGTACATCTTTTATCTAATGTAATGATATCTAAAATCGTCAAAATGTCACTAATTAATTTAACAAGAGAAAAGAGGGACGAAATTATTAGTTAGTCGTATGGACAACTAGGGGATTAAAGGAAATCTACTTGCCTCTTTTAATAACACTAACAAGCATACGCAAGAGAAGCGTTTTTGAGCAGTCGTGAAATTTACAATACGCTCAAACGTTTTATCATCCGCAAAGATAGAAGACTGAAGGATGATACCGCTCTTCTGTACTATTTGGTAGTGGAAGTCCTAAAGCCAAAAGAATATGTGTAATATTATCAATGAAAACAAGTAATATAATACTAAATAAATTGCAATTATTGTGTAGGCCTACAGAAAAACAGAACAATAGTAATAATTGGCCTCAAAACTTATCTTCAAAAAATGGCGAGTATCCACTGATGAATATCCGCTTGATACGTACGTAAGTGACTGTGCATTAAAGACATACTAATATTGCAGGTAAATCATAATGTCTGTCGAACATTGTTTAAAAACCTAGCACAAATTCACATTTCACTATTACTACTGAATTAAAGCGACAATTCTATCTACTCTAATACGAGATAAAATCGGTAAATATTAATATTCAATTTGAATATATAAGGCTGCTTTAAGATACCATCCAAGTAAATGTCTCGACGCTCTGTCAGGATCTGTCGCACTCGTACGACGAAGTATCATTCTCGAATCTTATCCACCGATGCGATAGTAATAGGATAGCGTTTACCATAATCTCATAGTAAATAAAATAGAGATACTTATATACTTTTTTTTTCTTCTTCAAATTCGGATCAATTAGGTAATAAAGAGGGTTGTTCAGGCAATTCAAAAGATAAACATGAATAAGAACACGTCTAAATATTTCACTGCTAGAAACTCGAGAATCGATCTTATAACCCCAGTAATACTACAACATTGGTTTCGTTAAGTAATAGTAACGAGCAATAAATTTCAATAACAGATATAGAAAATAATAAATTCGTAATGTGTTCGTCCCCGATAAGGAAATCTTTATGTCCCGTCAACTTTAATTGTAGAGGTAACTCGATAATTGAGCTGCTTATCCTTGAAGACGTGAAGAAATACGATACGATCGAGTTTCTTGACAAAATAATTTTACTTTTTTTTTGAGCAGTTTCCGAGCTTAATTAGTAAAGTTATAAAACAAAGTCATTATTATCTTGTTAATAAGCTCGACTTCCGTCTTGATCGAAGCCATCGCTCTCACAAATATGTTTACTTCATACGATTAACGCAATAAAAAGATCTAGCGCTGTTCTCGTTTCTTAATTGCAACAAAATCTTTTTAATGAGAAGTAATTGACCCTCTTCATAGCGGCGCGCCCTCGTACTACTCGACTAATCAATCCACGTGATCTAGCGAGAAGTAAGATACATATTTCTTCGTTTATCGCGTTTCAATGAACTAGCTATAGCATGCAACCACATTGAGAAAGCCTAATACAGTCAACTCTGTTTATACCAGAAATGTATATACCGGAATCTCACGGACAGATTCTTGCGCACCGTTCGTCTCATGAAAATTCATTGTTTATACCGGAATCTGGTTAATAATATTATGGGGTAAATGGCGACTTTTTAAGTTTTTTTCGGGTGCAATACGTTACGTTT